AGAACGAGCAGGGCGGGATTGCCGCCGTTCCCACCATTGCCATAGAACTGGTGCACGATCAATTAAAGAAATTAGACATATATAAATCAGCAGGACCGGATAAACTCTACCCAAGAGTCCTCTTTAACATCTTAATTAACGACGTGGACATTGGTGTCAGAAGCGCACTGGCCAAGTTTGCCGATGACACTAAACTTTGGGGCACAGTCCACACCGCAGGACAGGCTAGTGATCCAGGCTGACTTGGGTAAGCTTAGTAAGTGGGCGGACACAAACCTGACGATGTTCAATACCGAAAAATGCTAGGTTCTCCGCCTTGGGGGAAAACCCCACAGCACACCTATAGACTCGGCAGTGCTACGCTCGCTAGCACCACGGCTGAAAGAGACTTGGGGGGTCACGATTGACCACAAGATGAGCATGAGCCACCGATGCGATGTCGCAGCTGGCAAAGCGAATAAAACGCTGGCTTGCATCCACAGATGCTTCTCAAGCAAATCCCAGGATGTCATCCTCCCGCTGTACTCGGCCTTAGTGAGGCCGCAGCTGGAGTACTGCGTCCAGTTCTGGGCTCCACAATTCAAAAAGGATGTGGAGAAGCTTGAGAGAGTCCAGAGAAGAGCCACGCGCATGATCAGGGGTCAGGAAAACAGACCTTATGAAGACAGGCTGAGAGCCCTGGGACTCTTCAGCCTGGAAAAGCGCAGGCTCAGGGGGGACCTGGTGGCCACCTATAAGTACATCAGGGGGGTGCATCAGGACCTGGGGGACCGCCTGTTCACCAGAGCGCCCCAAGGGCCAACAAGGACCAGCGGTCACAAACTCTTACAAGACCACTTTAGGTTGGACATAAGGAAAAACTTCTTTACTGTCCAAGCCCCCAAGGTCTGGAGCAGACTCCCTGCAGAAGTGGTGCAGGCACCTACTCCGGACTCATTCAGGAAACGTTTGGATGCTTATCTTGCTGGGATCCTTTGACCCTAGCTGATTTCCTGCCCTTGGGGCCGGGGGCTGGACTTGATGCTCTTCAAGGTCCCTTCCAGCCCTAACGTCTATGAAATCTATGAAGAGCGCTGCAAGAGTTGGCCGAAGTAATTGTAGAGTCCCTGGCATCGTGGGCCTCTGGAGAAATCCCAGAGGACTGGGATAGGGCCAGTGTTGTGCCATCTTCAAGAAGGGGAAGCGTGAAGACCCGGGAAACTACAGGCCAATTAGCTGGACTTCTGTTCCAGGGACGTTCCAGATGAGGTTCAACGTAGAGAAATGCAAAGTGCTGTGTCTGGGGAGGAAGAGCCGCCAGCACACCTACCCGCTGGCATCGCTAACCTGACCAGCACTACACGTGAAAGGGATCCGGGGGGAACAACACACCCCAGCATGAAGATGAGCCGGCAATACGACGCAGTAGCTGCAGCACCAATAAAACTCTGGCATGCATCAATCGATGCATCTCCAATAAATCCAAAGAAGTGATTCTCCCGCTTTACTCAACATTGGTGCGGCCGCAGCTGGAGTATTGCGTCCAGTTCTGGGCACCGCGCTTCAACAAGGACGTGCTAAAGCTCGAGAGGGTCCAGAGACGGGTCTCCCGCGTGATCAGGGACTTGCAAGACAAGCCATACGCGGAGAGGCGGAGGGATCTCGGACTCCTCACCCTACAGAAAAGGAGGCTGAGGGGGGACCTGATTGCAGCTTCCCGCTACATCGAGGCGTACATCAGGGGCTCGGTGAACAACTGCCCTGGGGGAAAACTAGAAACAACAGCCACAAACTCCTGGAAGATATTTCAGGCTGAACATTAGGAAAAACTTCTTCACAACAAGGGTGTCCAGACTGTGGAACAAGCTCCCCGCAGAGGTGGTGCAATCGTCTACCCAGAGCCGGCCACCTGGCTGGGGTCGTCCGACCCCAGATGCCTCCTGCTCGTGCGGGGGCTGGACCGAGGCTCCGACGGGTCCTTCCAGCCCTCGGACCCGACGATTCCAGCAACGCCCTGGCTTGCTCGCGTGCGGCTGCGTTGCCCACCCAGCAGACGTCACGGGGATTGAAGTCCCCCAAGAGCACCGGGGCCTGTGACCTGGACACGTGCACGAGCCGTTTGAAGAAAGCCTCATCCACCTCTTCCTCCCGGGCTGGCGGTCCATGGCAGACCCCACCACGCATCTCCCTTGCTGCTCGCCCCTCGGCCCCGAGCCCGGAGGCTCCCAACAGGCCTCTCTCCAGTTTCATGCTGGGGCTCTCCGCAGTCGTACGGCTCTCGTACATCACGTGCAACTGCTCCTCGCCTCCCCTGCCCGTCCTTCCTGCACGGTCTGCGCCCGTCCATGACCGCGCTCCGGCCACGCGAGCAACCGCCGCCTCTCTGTTATTCTGACCCCATCCTAGCTCTGCAACGTGCCGGGCACTCCCGGGCTCACCCTGGCTCCCCGGGCACACGGTGAGGCTGAGGTGTGTGCACACACCAGGAGGCCCCGGTGCGACATTTGCACGGGTCCCAGTGCTCCCGCAGTCACGTGGGGGGCGGCTCCGTCCCCTCTTCCCGGCTTCTGAGACATCGCCGGTCTCTTCCAGGTCATGTTTCTCCCTGGAGCGCAGCCAGCTCGGGAGACGGGTGCGTTCCTACCTGCCGCGTCCTCCCGCTCACCCGTGGAAACCGCCCGCGTGGCTTCTTCAGCTGCCTGCGGGGAACTGGGGCCCTTTGTTCGGCGCTCCGGGCAGGGCTGGGCTCACGCGGCCTCCACCTCTCTGCTCTCCTGCCGCGCTGCCGTCAAGCTCCAGGTCTCCCGGGGCCTTTGCTTCTTCGCTGCAGGCATGCGCACACACGCACACACATGCATACACGTGCACACTCACATGCACGTGCACAGGCGCACGGCTGGCCTGGCCTGCCTAGCCCGAGCGGGTCTGCTCTGCCTCCTTGCCGCCCCGTATAACACACCCTGCGGCGCGGTTCCCGGCACCGTGGCACCCAGACCTCACCGCCTGCCTGCAGACAGGCTGGGCCACGCGCTGCGGCTGGACCCTCCCCAGCGCCGGGGTCTGTGCTCCTTGCACTGCCCCGTCCGACTCCCTGAAGCAGCCTGCTGCCGGGTTAAGCCTAAATCCAGCAGCAATATCACCCCAGCCCTGCGTGGAGCACTGGTCCCCCCAGCCCACGCCAGCCTGTGCCCCAGCACCCCTGCTTTCACGCCGTGGGCTGCAGCTGCCAGGGTCCCCCCAGGAGCCTGAGCTGAATGCCGGCCCTCCCACTGCTGGGACAGGCCCCTGCCCCGTTCTCACCCCCCTTGCCGGGTGCCGGCACAGCCGGGCACTCCCCAGGCAGCGGGTGGCACGTGCAGCCCCTTGCACTGGGCTCAGCTCTGCCTGCCGACGGCACCACTGCGTCCGCCTCGCCACCCTGGCCTGGCGATGGCCGGCGGGATCGGTCGGGAACACGCCTGGCACGCCAGGGTGTCGGAGCAACAGGTGGGACCGAGGTCCTGATGCACGTCCCCTCGGCATGCGGCAGGGAGCGGGGCCCTGGGGAGCCAGCCAGCGCGCGGTGGGGGCAGCAGGGCAGGGCTGGTGCCGGGGCCAGCTGGTATAGCTGCCAGCCGAGTGAAACCCAAGCAGAGGCGTTGCAAGTCAGGACAGGGCCTGCTTCCGCCCCTGCCTGCGATAACCATCAATTGCAGCCGTGCACCGCCCTGTCCTGGGCACCGTGCCCAGCGCGGCTCTGCAGGGGAGCAGGAGCTGCGCAGCCCAGTGCCGTGGAGACCACGGCTCCGCTCCGAGCCTGGCTGGGCCACGCTGCCTCATGCCATGGGTCCAGCAGCCCTCTAGCAGCCTCTCCTGCCCCTGCCCAGGCTGCGATGATCTTGGGGGGCAACTGTCTGCTGAGGGCAGGGGCAGATTCAGCACGACTCTTCCCCCACTCAGGCAATGCAACACCCCGGGACCTCGGGCGCCGGGCCAGCTGGAAATGCGACTGAGAGCCGGGCAGTCAGGACAGCTGGGGAAGGCTTCTGGCCTCACTCGCTGCCCACCCATCTCTGGCTGCAAGAGGAACCTGGGACCCCCAGGCAAGAGACAGAGCTGCTCTGAGCCATTGCAACCTCACCCATGTCCCCTCCAACCACGTTGCATTGCTGTTGGTTGCATGCCCATGAGCGTGCACATTGCCAGCTGTGCCTGCCTCTCCCTGCAGCGCTGCAGGGAGGGGGATGGCGCCAGGCTGCAACCAGGAGGTCCTGCGTGTTGCTGCAGGAGAAGGGCTGCAGGGGAGCTGCTGCAACGGGGGAGTCCACGCCTGCCCATGCAGCAATGGGGGGTGGGCGGGGGGGCTCCTGCGCTCAGCCCATTGCATTTGCACTCGGTGTCTCTGGCTCTGCTGTGCTGCACCATGGGCAGCGCCAGTGCAGCCGTGAACACTGCCCTTGCCCCTAGGCCCCCGCCATGCAAGGGCAGAGCACAGAGGTGGGGGGAGCTCATGCCAGGCTCCCACTGCCACCACAGCCCTGGGGATAGCACCAGCACATATATGAGTGCATGTGACGTGCACATATGGCTGCATGCAGCTGTGTGTGTGGTCCCATGGGTGCACATATAGGGGTGGGTGCGTGAGTGTGCATGCACACGTGCCTGTGAACAGACCCAGAGTGGACACATGGAGGGGGGTGTGCATGCATGTGGTGCAAGGGCACACATACATGTGCATACATGGGGCATTCGCACACACACAAATGCACACACGTGTGCATGCATGAAGTGTCTGCATGGCTGTGTGCACACGTGTGCATGCCCCGGGCTGGGCACGTATGCCTGCGTAGGTGCGTATGGGGCCAGTGGGCACTGTGGGGTTCCCACGGGGGTGTCTCTGAGCAGAGCCTGGCAAAACCCCCTCATAGCGCAGCTGCCCCCCGGACACACGCTTGGCCAGGGTCTGGCCTGGGCTGAGCTGGAACGGGGCTGCGGCCACATGGGGCCGCCGGTCTGCCATGAAGTGCAGGCAAGGCTGCTGGTGCTGGGTGTTTAATGGGGGTGCGGGGGCCGTGTCTTCACCAGATGAAGAGGGGCTTGCCGTCATCCTTGGACAGCTCGTACAGGCAGTCGAGCAGCAGCAGGGCGTCGCGCCGGGCCTCCTCGGGCACCGTGTCCACCACCACGCCCCGCAGGAAGTCCACGTTGTTGTAGGAGCGGCCCTCGGCGCTCGACAGCTCCGGCCGCTCCCGCAGGATCCCGTAGCTGTTGACCACGTGCTCGGTGAAGGCGGGGTGCACGCGGGGGTCGTAGCCCATCCGGCTCAGGCGCTGCATGAGCGCCGTGTAGCGCTGGGCCATGGCCGCACACTGGACCTCGTCCACGTGCCACGTGGTGCCGTTGCTGATGCTCTGCAAAGAGAGACGGCGACGGGGGTCAGGGATGGGGCCGGGCACAACGCAGGGTGGGGAGAACGAGCCCGCGTCCGGCGACGGTTCGGATTAGCTCCGTGCAGACGGGACCGGCAGCTCCAGCTCTCGAAGAGCCTCCCGCTACCCCGACCCGGCTGGGTGCCAGCAAGCGCCCCGGTCTCCCGCGGCTGGGGGCCCCGGAGGCTCCGGTCGCGGCTCCTACCTTCATGATCTTCTCGGGGATGTTGTTGACGGTGAAGCCGTAGAGGCGGACGCGGTCAGGGAAGATGCTGGAGAGGATCCTGCGGTCCAGCTGGAAGGCGATCTCCCCCACGATGCGCTCCCAGGTCTGACGCTTGGGGTCTGCAAGGGCGCAGGAGCAGGTCAGCGCCGCGATGGCCCTGGGGCAGCCGGCCCGCAGGGAGGAGGGCACCGGGGCACGCAGGCCATGCGGGTGAGAAGGACCCCCCCACGCACCCCACCCGCGGGGTCACATCCAGTCCCAGCCCTGCCTGAGGCAGGATCAGCTCTGTCCAAACCAGCCCAGACAAACCCATCCGTTAAACCCTTTGTAAAATTACTGCCCCCCCTGACAGCCCCAGGCATCGCCCCCGCCCTGCCCCCGGGATGCAGGGGGGCCGCGGCTGCCGGGGGGTCACGGGTGCTGCTGAGACCCCGGCCCAGGCCGTGCCCCCGCTGCAGAGGAAAGCAAACCCCCCAGTCCGGACCAGTCTGAGCAGGGGGGAATCGCTTCCCGCCCCAGTGCAGCGTTGGCGCAGGGGCAAGACCCCCCTGCCAGGACCCTGCGGGTTGGTGCAGCCCAGTCCCATCCCTGCACCCAGCGCCTCTGGGGGAGGCTTAAAGCCCCCAACCTACGGAGCAGGGGGTAGCACTGCACCCTGCACAGCCCAGGAGCCTGGAAATCCCCAGAGCAGAGCACAGGCATCTCTGCCCAGGGCCGTCCAGCCTCCGTGACCCCCAGTGATGGAGAGCCCACGGCTCCCCGGGCGTCTGTCCCACCTGGCAGTCTATGAGTCTGGCTGTCGCTGGCTTGGGCCCAGCATCCGCCCAGCCCTGCTCCGTCAGAGCCCCGCAGCTGGAGCCGTCGTGCCCGTGCCCGTGCCCGTGCCCCCCGCGGTTAGCAGCCAGATCCCGGATGCAGCGGCCCCAGAGCCCTGGGCTCCCTGGTGCTTCCTACCCCATCACCCCGGCGTCCAGGTGGTTTGAACATGGCAGCTGGCAGCAAGACCCTGTCTCCCCGCCGTCCCCCGGCTCCGGTCTGCCCTACGCTGCTGTCTTCCCTCCCCAAGTCCAATGCTCTGTCCTCCCCTCCTCCCCCCCTCTGGTCCCTGCAGGGATCTGGCTCCGTTTTGCCCAATGTTTTCATCAATGGCCCAGAGACAAGGGCGCACGGTGCAATCTCCCAGGTTGCAGGTGACACCAAATGATTCTGGGCAGTCGAGTCCCACGGGGACAGCGAGGAGCTGCACAAAGGTCTCACCAAACTGAGCGAGCGGGCAAAAAAATAGCAGGTGAACGTCAACATTGACAAGTGCAAGGTGATAAAATAACCTCAGCTCTCGGCACGCCAGGCTGGGTCCTGAACTAGCAGTCCAAGGGCCAGGACAACACCACGGGCGAGCGATCTGCTCCTGGCTGTTGGACAGGAGGGCCCGCGGCGCTTCCCCGGCACCGATCCCTCGCGGTGCAGCCGGGTCAGGGCTCTGCCTCCACAGCAGCACTCGCTGCCTGGGCTTGACGACCGTTGGGTCCGACCCTTCTTACGTTCGTACGGCCGGAGAGCGCGGTGTCGTAGCCACGATGGTGCAGGGATCGGGCGAGAGGCGAGGGTTTCTGGGGTGATCTCTGTTATTGGGCCAACGGCAACGGTCCCCACGTCTCTGCGTACGACGCCCCAGCTCCTCTCTGCACCCACGCTGCCTCTCGGCGTCTGTTGTCAGCAAACCCTGGCAGTCAACTCCGCCGTTTCCACCGAGGCGACTCACGAGGACAGAAGCGAGGGCAGTGCTCCCGTGGTGTCTCCGCTCGCGCCCGTGCCCGCTCCTGCCCATCCCGCCAGGTCCTCTGCTCACGCCACAGGCATCGCCCGCTGCTAAACGCTGCCCGCGAAGGCCACGTCTTGTTCCCGACGGGCGGCCGGAGGAGAGCGCCTGCGTTTTCTCTGCTGCTAAAGTGGCTCACGAGTCAAGGACGGCTCTCGGGTTCATCTGGCGCTGTTTGCCCTCCACAAAACCACGTCATCCCATTTTCCAGCTACCACCACATCTTCACCTGGGCTGTCTCAACACGTGTCTGAAAACCAGGGCCTGGTCGTCTTTGTCTGGGTCACTCGAGCCCTTGCATACAATGGCTGCTCCTGACACACAAGCGGCGCGTCTACACAAGACACTTTACTGCACAGTAGACCCATTTACTGCGCAGTAAGCGTCACCGTCTAGATCAGTTGGTCTGCACATTAATTCCTGGCTGGGATGATGTAGCCGGGGCTGGTCCTGCTTGGAGCAGGGGTTGGACTGGATGTGACCCCCTGCGGTCCCTTCCCACCATCATGTCCTATGGTTTTGTGATTCTAATTTTCTACCTGCAAACGCAAATTAACTGTGGAGCGGTTACTGCGCAGTAACGCACGTGTAGACGGCTGACGGGGGCTGAGACTGCTCCCTGCCCCCGGGAGCTGCCTGCTGCAATGGCGGAGCCGGGGCCCAGACGATGCCCCCTGCCCCGCAGCAGGGCGCGATTTTCAGCCCCTGTCACCTGCCCCAGGTCCCTGCCCCCCAGCACCCCGACAGCCCGGCGCTCCCCCTGGTGGCGGCAGGCGGCAGAGCAGTGGGGAGCAAATGTGCTCCCCCCCACCCCGGCTCACTGCACAGGGTTTGTACCGAGCAATAAGCCTACTTCAAATGTATTGCACGTCTCCTCCGCCAGCTCCGATCCAGGGGGCTCTCGGCCACACACCTTTCCTCGTGGCACTTCTTGATGTGGAGGACGGCCCGGGGCCCTTCCCGATGCGGTTCAGGGGTCCCGCCTGGCTCCTGTGCTCTCCCCAGGGGGGCACCTGCGTGAGCTGTGCCCTGTTCTGGGGGGTTTCCTGGATGTCCCCGTTGCCTCGCTCATCCGAGGGGCAGGTGAGAGCTGGAGGCTCGGGACCAAGCTGCCCGTCCTCGCCCCCGGGGAGCTGTCTCCGCACACCCGAGCTCAGCCTCGTGGCGGGAGGGGCCCCAGTGCGGGGGCACGAGGCCCACCCCCGCCCAGCAATTCGGGGTCCCCCGTCACCCTGGACCAGGGCTCGCGGAGAAGGGCTGAGACCTCGACCTTCGTTGCCCGGAGGCGGAAAGGAAGGGGCTGGGGGGGAACCGCAGGAGCTCCCGAGGGTGGCGGGACGTGGGGTCAGACAGGCAGGGCAGGAGGCGGGGGCCCAGCGCAGCCTGTGGAGTGACAGGGCCGAGCCGGCCGACTGCCCGGGGCTGGGGGGCGCGGGGACAGCAGGCTGGGCTCCCCCGAGACCGCGCAGGGAGCAGGATGAGCCCGGGACGGCACGGGATGGGCCGGGGGCCGGCTGCTGCGGGCTGCAGGGAGCAAAGGTGGCTGCCAAGGGCAGAGCCTGCGCGCCGGGGCTGGGACACGCCAGCCGGCTTTGCCCGGGCCTCTCACGACCTCCTGTGGGGAGAAGGCAGTATCTGCGCTCGCCCCGGCCCCTGCCGCAGAGTCGCAGCGTGCCCTGGGCCCGTGCCCTGGACCTGCACCTTGCCTGGCTCCGACACAGGCACCCGCGCCCCTTCCAGAGCGGCCCCCGGCGTCCCGGGCATCTGGAGCCACGACCGCGGAGCCCACGGCGCCACCCACGGCGCGGGTCCCTGCGCCTGGGCACGTGGCCGGGGCGCCAGGGACACCCCTTCCTGCTGCCCCGTGGGGGTCCGGCTCGGGGCCACGAGCGGCTGCATTTCCCGCGGCCCCGGTCCCCAGGGCCAGGGCTCGAGGGAGCCTTGCAGCTCCTCCGCAGACCAAGGTCGGCTCCAGCTCCCGGGGTCTGGGGAAAAGCTGGAGCCGTGATCCCGGGCGGCTGCGACACCGGCACGGTGCTCATTCACACGTATGTCGGGTCTGAATGATGCATGTGTCTGGGCTGGTTTGGGCAGGGGCTGGACTGGATGTGCCCCCGCGGCTCCCCGCCAGCCCCGCGGCTCTGCGATGAAATGAGTCTACGGCAGCTCCTCCGGACGCGACACGGGGCCATCTGGGCCCTGGCAGCCAGCGCTCCCCTCCAGCCCGCTTCACCCGGCCCCTGCCCAGCCTTACCTCTGGGCCCGAGGCCAGGCTGGATGGAGTCCCGCACGGACATGGGCCGCTCGGTGGTGCGGGGCGCCCTGTGCGCGCGCTCCTTGGGCCGGACGTCAGGCGGGCGCTGGGTGTCGGCGAGCGGGCGGGCAGTGGCCTGGGCGAGGCTGGGCCCAGGTAAGGCGATGGCTCCGCCGACGGCTCCCGGTGGGGTCATGAGTCCAGCTCCGATGATGGGTGTGGAGCCAAGCACGGACCCAGAGGTGGGCGCAGCCCCAGGCCGCGGGGCCGCGGCGCCCAGGGCGGACGTGTTGTTGAGGATGTTTTCCATGAAGTTGGCACTTTGGAAGACGGTGTCTGGGTAGGTCAAGTCCTGGAAGCCCGACAACTCTGCAGGGAAAACGGAGGCAGTCGGGGGCGGAGAGGGGCATGGGCATGGGCATGGCAGGGGCAAAGCCCAGGTCCTGGGGGTCAGGCAGGGTTGTGGGGGTTCCCAGGGCACGGGGGGAGGGCTGCACCCTCACACAGCCCAGCCCAGCCGCCGGCGAGGGCGAGGGCGAGGGGCTTCCTTAGGAGGATGCTCACGAGGCCAGGGCTGGGCCAGGCAGCAATGACACGCCGGAGGGGGCAGGAGAAGGGTCCACAACACACTCGACGGGGAAGAGAAAGTCCCTGGGGTTTATTACTGACTGTCCGTCACCAGACAGGGACGAGGGTCACACGTGGACCGAGCAGGCGGCCGCTTAATGCTAACACCAGGGAGGTCTTTTCCCCCCCAACGTGGCATGAAAAGGGACTCGTGGCCCCAGGGGTGGTGGGAGCCGGGAGCTCAGCCACGTTCACCAGGGCTTGGACACGTGTGGAGGAAAGGGGCATCGATGCGTGGCTCTGGGGCAGGGAGCGAGGGGCACGGCCTCTGCGTCAGCCCTGCCTGGACCCCAATGCTGGGGGCTGGCGGGGGGAGAAACGGGGAAAACCCTGCTCGGCCCCGGTCACTCTCCCTCCAGCCTCTGCTCTCTGCTCTGCGCGATGTGGGACTGGACAAGAAGGACCTGGGGTCTGACCCACTGATGTTGTCACCTCACCTGCGGGCCCAAAGGTGAAGACCTGGGTGGGGGGCGTGGAGGTCCGGACGACAGGCTCCGCGCCCCGGGAGTGGGCCTGCGAGCTCTGGCCCCGCGAGCCGGAGAGCTGGCTCCCTGCGCCCGTCTGCTGGGACAGCTGGTTCACGGCGGACGTCAGGGTCTCGCCGGTGTTGATGAGTCCGCCCCGGATGAGCCCCAGGGTGGCATCGCTCAGGGTGGTGTTCCACGACCCGCTGCCCTGCCCGTCGTTCAGCGCCACGTTGGGGGCTGCAGCTGGGGAGAGAGATGCTTCGTGCCCGCAACGGTGCTTCCCGCCCAGCCCAGCCCCCCCCATGGCTGCCCGCGCCCCTCGTCCCGGGCCCGGGGTCAGTTATCGGGAGGCCACGGCTCGGCGCCTGGCACCATCCCAGCGCCTCGCTCTTCCTGGGGCCAGGAGCAGAGGCTGGATATGGGCTTCGGGGCCTTGCCCCTGGATCTCCCCTGCACCCACGGAGGCTGCAACCCCCTTGCTCCCTGGGCAGGGATCGTGCTCAGTGGCAACCTCGGCTGCCCCCAGGGACTCGGGTAAAGGGCCTGGCCCATGCCAGCTGCACGGCGAGGCCGCCCTGCTTTCCCGGGGTGCACTGGCGTTGGGGTGCCTTTGCCTGCGGGGTCCCCATCCTGTCCTCACCAACCTAGCCCGGGCACTATGCCGCTGGCGTTGGGGACGGTGGAGGAGGCAAGGGGGATGAAGTTGGAGATGGCGGAGAGGTCGCCGTGCACGTGGGTCTGCAGGTAGTTGCGGATCTGCTGGTTCTCGCGCAGCAGCGCCGCCACCTTCTTCAGCGCGTCGTTCTCCTGCAGCAGCGCGTCGATCGCCCGTCGCAGCTGCTCGTAGTGCCGGAGCACGGCCGGCACCGCCTGCAACTGCGCGGCCTGGCCGGGGGCCGCCGACATGGTGGTGGCCGTGGGGCGTCCGGGGGCTTAGGTGATCTTTCAGCTGGCCATGCCCCCCCCCCCACACCCTCCTGTGCTGGAGGCCAGCTGCCCGGCTGCCTGGCTGGGCACCAGTGACACGGCACGGTGCCCGGCAGCATTGTGACATCAGCAGTGACCTCAGAGCCGGAGCCCAGTGGGACCCCCCGGGCCGGCGACTTTGCAGCCCGCTCGGCTCCGCGCGGCCGGGGCGGGACCCTTCCTGCACGGGGCAGCGGGGCCAGTGCGGCCAGAGCCCCCCGGCACCCTGC